TCGTCCATAATCCAGAGTCTTATGCCCATGCACCATGACACCCTATAAGGCGAGTACCTGCACCACAAAATTCTCATCAGCATCCACAAAATTTTCAAGCGTCTTATAACCCACATTTAAGGCACGAATATAGAGGGGAGTAGACGTGAGAAGATAATTTTACACCAATAGGAGAATCCTATACAAGCTTGTTTTAGAAATTAAAGCATTATGGCATGATTGCACCTATTCCTCCAAATTACGTGGATCCAAGTGCAAGAAGCTTTGACCCTTCTAAAAGGTGTGAATACTATTCTAATGTCCTGGGGCATAATATTGAAAGCTGTCGGGATTTGAAAAGATAAATAAAAAAATGGTCTAGAAAAAACTAATTGTGGTCCAGGACATTGACACCCCGAATATCATACAAAATCATTTAACTACACATGATGATGCACACTTTGTGGGGATGGTACGTAGTGACGTGGAGTATGAGAATCCTCTCGAGACCTCTGGCATATCAGTTGCTATAAAAGATCATATGTCGCTGTTCCTAAATCTGGTGGTTAATGCCGAAGACAAGTAACATTCCCACTAAAGTAAATCAGATTGAAATTGGATAAGGTCCTGGTGATGCTGATGAGAAAATTTGGGGCTAAAATGTCAAGCTTAACAATTAAAAAGTTATTCCCTACTCTCTAGGAAGGAATCTTGTTAGCTTGTTTTGATGTTGTTTCTATTCTAGGTTATTTTAGGGTTGTGATGCAGATTTTGTTTGTTTGTTTTGTTAAGTTAAACCCGTATATTCTTCTATTTTGTTCGTTTGTGAGTTTTGTTTGTTTGTTTTATTGTTATTTGGTGTTATCTAAGGGTTGTAACTCAGATTTTAATTTGCTTGTCTTAAGTCAAACCCTTCTATCTTGTTATTCAATGAAATTCAATTTGTCATTTTGTCATTTGCGTCACTCTGTGTTTAGTTATTTTTGGCTAGTTAAGTCACATGACATGCATGCGGAATTTTTGGCTTGATTTTAGGAAACTAATTTAGTCTTGAATTGAACAACTAAATATAAAGACACTTTTGAGGATGAACATAGAGTTGAAACACTTTAAAAGTAAGCATAATCCAGATTTACATGGAACCAAGGGGTCATACCCATGGAGGTTTAAGATCTCTACCTCTAACGCATTGTGAAGATCGGGCTTAAGAATATTGAATAAGTTGAAACTTGGTCGAAGGTTTGGCACTAATGGATGGAAAGTATTCTTCAAAAAAGGGTGCAGTCCAGACAATTTGAAATGGATCAGCTAGTGTCGAAATGCATTCTCCCACACCAAGAGGGAAAAAGCTGCCCAAATTGACAAGGTTCATTCACTATGAAGAAAGTATTGTGCATACAACCTTATTCTGGACAAGACCAAGAAGGCGAACATGTCCATCAATGCCGTGATTGCAAAGAGACAGTATGGTTGGCGTTCTTTAGGCTGGGAGGCCCTTTTTCTTCTATCCAGACACTCTACATCCTTCGTCACCCTTTTTGAGCCTGTGTTATTTTCATTGACACCCCTCTCTTGGAATCAAATTTAGAGTCAAAAGTCCAAAAAAACAAACGGACCATGTCCCAAAAAGTACAAACTAGGGCAACTTTTAGAAAGTTCAAGTCGAAAAAAAAAGAGTTCAAAATAGTTCCAAAAAAAAAGAAGAGAAAAAAAATACGAAACAAAGGAGCAAAAAAAAAAATAATAACAACAACAATAGGTCATATGTTTGAACTATGTTTGACCTGATTCCTTTAAAGGATACGTAGGCAGTCTCACCCTGGGGTTCAGTCCAACCAAAACAGAATCCAGTATCTAAAATTGGGTCATGAGTTTGTTTTAGTTTTTTGAAAGAGTCGATTATAAGAGTTGTAAATGTACAACCCCATCATATTGGGTCTTTTGAACTTTCATGGCGTCCTTTCTTTCTAACCATATCCAAAAGCCTTCCAAACAAGATCTTCTGATCATTTTTGAAAATGTCAAGGGTCTGCAATGAGCAATAATTGTCATATGAGGGACATGGTCGTGGTTCTCACTCATGGAATCAAGAAACGAAAACACGAAAAAAGAAAAAGAACAAAAAAAATATAAAAATGAGAGAGTCTTATTAGTGAAAACCCTTACGGGCACTATAAGATGACGGTAAGTAGAGATAAATAAATAAGAGAGAGTTGTTGGTGAAAACCTCTCGGGGCACCACTAGTCGAAAGTGAGTCGTGAAGCTGATGCAAAAAATTAACACAAACAAGCACGACTTCAAAGGCCATAAGAATGACAAGAGGAAAGATTAGATCTGTTTGGTAGATCAGGCCGCAAAGTCCAAAATGCATGCCATGATCATTAATGCTAGTTACCGCATTAAATAAAACCCCTCTTCCTTCTTTCCTTCCCGATAAGGGCATCTTTTGTTAACATTGTTTCTTTGCATCATTATATCCTTTGCTTTGAGTCAGCCCTTGTCAAAACAAGTAAGAAAGGATTTTAAAATCTGCTACCATCTTTTCAATTGCATGAAGTAGATTTTGGCCAACACAATTAAGATAACGATGTCCAGGGAGCAACATGCATTCAGTTATTACAGTTGCTATATTTTGAGAATTCATGAAATACGAAGGTTCCTCCAAAAGATACTCATGTTAGCCTACTTGGCTAAAGCAAGCAAAGATGAGACCGCAAAGTTAATCATGGGTTCTCGGTAGTACTGAACAAAGACTATAAAGTGTGCACATCATGTAAAAGACACATACCCAGCTGTGATTCTCTTTGTCAAATAAATTGCTCAAAAGGCAAAAAGCCATTCAAGATATCAGAAAAGGTCACTCAAGCAAAGATTTCCTTTTGGGATAAGGCTGATTGAGCCACAAATACAAATGATACTTGATGTGAAACATTTAGGATTGATATAGAGAGCAAAAGTCCCTTGAAAACAACAATTGAGTCTCTCAGCAGTATAGCCAATTACCAATACAGTCGGTCTTCTAGAAGCGAATGGGCCTAACACCAACTGCAAAGGACATCAAGGCCACAAACCGATCACCACTATTTGAAAGACAAAAAAAAATTTGTTTGAAACAGGAACAAAGCAATGCAAGGAAAGTGGTTCAATAAAAACAAAAACAAAAATAGAGAGAATGAAAAATGAAAAAAAAAAAAGGAAGAAGAGGAGAGCCGCCAAAGGGAATTTCTCAAGTCTTTACCTTTATTTATCTTGCTAGTATGCATAAAATCATGTCATTGTTATTTACATTTTCCTCCTAGGGTAATACATCCTAGTCTGATGCATTTTCTTTCCAATAGAAGTATTAGTTTGATGAATCTTTTTCCTAAAATAAGAAAAAATTTTGTCTGATGAATCTTTCTCCTAAGATTAGAAAACCTAGTCTGATGAATTTTCTCCTAGGATAAAAAGTTTTAATCTGATGAATTTTCTCCTAAGATACGAAGCCCTAGTCTGATGAATTTTCTCCTAGGATCAAAATCTTAGTATGATGAATCTTTCTCCTAAGATTAGAAAACCTAGTCTGATGAATTTTCTCCTAGGATCAAAATCTTAGTATGATGAATCTTTCTCCTAAGATAAGAAAACTTAGTCTAATGAATCTTTCTCCTAAGATAATAAAACCTAGTCTGATGAATTTTCTCATAGGATATAAGTCTTAGTCTGATAAATCTTTCTCCTAAGATAAATAAAAAAAGAAAAACTTAGTCTGATGATATTCTCCTAAGATAAAATGTCTTAGTTTGATAAATTTTCTCCTAAGATACAAAGCCCTAGTCTGATGAATTTTATCCTAGGATAATTAAAAAAAGAAGAAGTTTGGATTATTTTTATTTAAAAAAATTAATGGTTCATGCTCCTAGAAAATAAAAGTTGGTGCAATATGTTAAAAAGAAACAAAAAGAGGAAAAATTATTTTCTCCAATTGCATGTTAGCATAGGGTACACCATTCCCAACTGCATTTTTTCAACATAGGGTACACCAATCCCCAGTTGTATTTTCCTTTTGACATAGGGTACACCATTCCCTAGTCGCATGTTAGTATAAAGTACACCATCCCCTGGTTGCATTTCTCAACATAGAGTACACAAGTTCCCAGTTGTGTTTTTCTTTTGACATAGTGTACACCATTGCCAAGTCTCATTTTTAAAGGGTATACCACTCCCTATTTGCATTTTTCAACATAGGGTACACCAATCCCTAGTTGTGTTTTCTTCGTACCCTATCTTAGTCACATATTAGTATAGTTTACGCCCTCCCCGATTGCATTTCCCAATATAAGGTACCCCATTACCTAGTTGTTTTTCTTTTAACATAGGGTATACTATTTCCAAGTCATATTTTAAAGGGTACACCACTATCTAATGCTTTCTTTGCTCTTAATTTAAAAAACAAAAAACTAGTTTATAGTTTTGTGCAAATAACTAACAAAATTTTCCTAGTGTAAACTGGGGCAGAAAAGTTTTGTTTATTTTATTTGTCTTGTGATGTCTTGCAGGTTCCCCGCAAAACACAGGTTTGATGTCCAAGAATGAAGTTCCATCGTTCTCCTTAAACTTCACGCGACCTGATTCCCTTATAGCCCGAGATATGTAGGATGTCCAAAACCAGGACCCGGTTACACTCTTTCTTCATATCTTCATTTTTAGAATAATGGGTTGGTATAAATATTAGTCACAATGCTCGCCTTTTCTTTGCTTGAAAACTCTTTTTGTTACCAAGCAAAGAGGGGCATGCTGTGAGCACCTAATTTCTTACCACACTCGAGTTTTCTATATTTGTTTTTTTAGTGTTTAATATTTTCTTGGCTTGATATTGATATTTTTGCTCCTATATTTTAACTAGGCTTTACTAGAGAATACGTAATATTATTTTACACCGTCTACTACATAGTGGTCGCAAATATTAATTTTAAATACGGACCAAATCTAATTAAATTGCCTTCCACCTTCCCTACACTATTTTTTTGTCTCATACCCGCTTTTTATACTATTTTGTTGTCCCATTACCCCACTCCTTACACTATTTTATTGTCCCATCATTTATTCTCAACTCTCTTCCTCTCATATTTTCTTATTATATGTACATACACGAGGAAGAAAAGGGGGAGATCTTTTTTTTTTTTTTTAAAAGGAGCACCAAAATGGAAAGAAACCGAGTGAGCTAAAAAAGGGGCAACGTCTTCTTCTTCTTGGAGAAAAATAGCCATAGTTCCACCATTGAAACCAGCCAATATCACTTCCGGCAAACACCATTTTCGTCACCTAATAAAACCTCCAAAATCGGCCCCCAAAAGCACCTCCAACCTCTGCCCAAAACTGCCCGAAAAAACTCCATTGCCAGCCATGGAAGTGAGCTGAAAAACTCCTCAAAACCATATGAAAACTCAGCTTGAAAACCTGCTACAAAATCAGCCCAAAAATATGGCAAAATAGCACCAAAAACCAGCAAAACAAAGCATTTTTCCACCCCAATACGCAGCCGAAAAAAGCAGCCTGAAAGCAGTCCCAAAATGACTTCAAAGCACCTCCAACTTGCCATGAAAAGTAGCCAAATCTGACCCCAAAACGAGCTCTGAAAATTAGCTCCAAAACACCCCCAAACCAGCCCCCAGAAACCCCAACAAACATGGCGAAATCGAGTCAAAAACTCCACGAAAACAGCCCCGAAAACGCAGCTGAAACTCAGCTGCAAAACACTCAAAAAACCACCAAAACTCCACCCGAAATAAGTCACGAAAATCAACAAAACTACAGCTGAAAAACCACCCAAAACAAGTGTGAAAATCAGCCCGAAACCACCGTCTCGAGTTCCGCCTGTTTGGGATCGCCGATTCCGATTCAAGTTTCTAGTCCATAGCTCACTTGAGGATTAATGTGTTGGAGCTTCTCTCACTGTACTTGCTGGAAATTTTAGCAATAAAGGTTCATCCTTTCTTTAACTTCTCTTTCAATTCATTATTTGGCTGTTATTTGTTAGAATAAACTCTGCTTATTTACTGCTAGTTTACATTGATATAAATGTTCATATGTTCAATTATTTGTATAATATTTATTGGTTAGTTGTCTGAGATTTAATTAACGTTAATCAAGTCAGAAGTATTTTGTCTTAGTTTGGGTTGGTTAGTTCATAATTAAGTGCTACTTTGGCCGTATGATTTGTTTGTAAATTGATTTTAGAGAAAACTAACTTCTATAGCCCCTCAAAATTTTAATAGCCCATATTTTTCCTCCATTGACACGAAATGGCCCTCCATCCCAAACACATTACATCTAATAACCCGAAATATCTATTTTGTATATTGACAGTCTATTTTGTATATGTTTTATATAATATCAGTCTATTTTGTATATATTTTGTATAGTGACAGTCTATTTAGTATATATTTTGTATAGTGACAGTCTATTTTGTATATATTTTATATAGTAACAGTTTATTTTGCATATATTTTGTATAGTGACAGTATATTGTATATAAATTGTATAGTGGCAGTCTGATGAATTTTCTCCTAAGATACGAAGTCCTAGTCTGATGAATTTTCTCCTAGGATCAAAATCTTAGTCTGCTGAATCTTTCTCCTAAGATAAGAAAACTTAGTATGATGAATCTTTCTTCTAAGATAAGAAAACCCAGTCTGATAAATTTTTTCATAGGATAGAAGTCTTAGTCTGATAAATCTTTCTCCTAAGATAAATAAAAAAATAAAAATCTAGTATGATGATTTTCTCTTAGGATAAAAAGTCTTAGTCCGATAAATTTTCTCCTAAGATACGAAACCCTAGTTTGATGAATTTTCTCCTAGGATAATTAAAAAAAAGAGAAAAAATTAACATAGGGTATACCACTAAACTATTTGCATTTTTCAACATAGGGTACACCAATCCCTAGTTGTGTTTTCTTTTTGACATAGGGTACACCATTCCCTAGTCGCATATTAGTATAGTTTACGCCTTCCCCTATTGCATTTCCCAACATAAGGTACCATATTACCTAGTTGTTTTTCTTTTGACATAGGGTACATCATTCCCTAGTCGTATTTTAAAGGGTATACACTACCCGATGCTTTCTTTTCTCTTAATTAAAAAAAATAAAAACTAGTTTACAGTTTTTGCTAATACCTCACAAAATTTTCCTAGTGTAAATTGGGGTAGAAATATTTTGTTTTTTTATTTGTCTTGTAATGTCTTGCAGGTTCCCCGCATAACACATGTTTGATGTCCAAGAATGAAGTTCCAAACTCTGATAAAAAAAGAAGGTTGTTCGAGCATAAAGACAGTTGGGGTCAAGCTTTGACATAATGCATACATCAACTAGCATCTCAAAATCCATCTTCTCGGCTTCTACTTAAAAAGCGAGCATTCAAGATTCAATCCAAGTCTGAGTTCACGCCCAAGCTTCAAGAATCAATCTTCAATCTGAAGGCACCCACCGTCCAATGCAGGTAAACAATCCTCAAATTCAAGGCACACACCTCCAAATGCGGGTCATCAAGCTCCAAATTTAAGGCACCCACCTTCCAATGCGGATTTACGAGATCTCAAGTGAAGATACAACACTTGACACTAGAAGAGTATATATGACCTTGTATTTTTTATTTTCTTTAGTGTAATTTACTTTTTTATTTTGATGCAATAAACAGGACCGCAGACCGGAGCCTCGACGGAATCTCACTCGACTCTTAAACTCATTATTCCATCGTTCTTCTTGAACTACACGCGACATGATTCCCTTATAATCCGGGATATGTAGGTTGTCCAAAACCAGGACTCGGTTGCACTCTTTTCTTCATTTTTTGAATAATGGGTTGGTAAAAAAATTAGTCACAATGCTCACCTTTTCTTTGCTTGAAAAGTCTTCTTGTTACCAAGCAAAGAGGGGCATGATGTGAGCACCTCGAGTTTTCTATAATTCTTTTTCGTGTTTAATATTTTCTATGCTTGATATTGATATTTTAGTTCTTATATTTTTTGCTAGGCTTTATTAGAGAATATGTAATATTATTTTACACAGTCTACTACATAGTGGTCGCAAATATTTATTTTAAATACGGACCAAATCTAATTAAATTGCCTTCCACCTTCCCTATACTATTTTCTTGTTCCATCCCCACTTCTTATACTATTTGTTTGTCCCATCATCTCACTCCTTACACTATTTCATTGCCACATCATTCATTCTCAATCGTCCTCCTCTTATCTTTTCTTATTATATGTACACAAAAATGAGGAAGAAAAGGGGGAGATTTTTTTTTTTTTTAAAAAGGAGCACAAAAAGGGAAAGAAACCGTGTGAGCTAAAAAGGGGGCAACATCTTCTTCTTCCCGGAGAAAAACAGCCATAGTTCCTCCATTGAAACCAGCCAGTATCACCTCCGTCAAATACTATTTTCGTCACCTAAACAACCTCCAAAATCGGCCCCCAAAAGCACCTCCAGCCTCTGCCCAAAACTGCCCGAAAAACTCCATTGCTAGCCATGGAATTGAGCTGAAAAACTCCTCAAAACCATCTGAAAACTCAGCTTGAAAACCTGCTACAAAAGCAGCCCAAAAAATACGGCAAAATAGCACCAAAAACCAGCAAAACAAAGCATCTTTCCACCCCAAAATGCAGCCGAAAAAAGCAGCCTAAAAACAGTCCCAAAATGACTTCAAAGCACCTCCAGCTTGCCATGAAAAGCAGCCAAAAACGACCCCAAAACGAGCTCTGAAAATTAGCCCCAAGACACTCCCAAACCAGTCCCCCAAAAGCCCAACAAACATGGCAAAATCGAGTCAAAAACTCCACGAAAACAGCCCCGAAAACCGCAGCTGAAACTCAGCTGCAAAACACTCAAAAAACCACCAAAACTCCACCCGAAATAAGTCACGAAAATCAACAAAAATACAGCTGAAAAACCACCTAAAACCAGTGTGAAAACCGGTTCAAGTGTCTAGTCCGAAGTTCACTTGAGGATTAATGCTTTGGAGCTTTTCTTCACTGGACTTGCTGGGAATTTTTGCAATAAAGGTCCATCCTTTCTTTAACTTCTCTTTCAATTCATTATTTGGGTGTTATTTATTAGAATAAAGTCTGCTTATTTACTACTAGTTTATATTGATATAAATGGTCATATGTTCAATTATTTGTATAATATTTATTGGTATGTTGTCTGAGATTTAAGTAACGTTAATCAAGTAAGTAGTATTCTGTCTCAGTTTGGGTTGGTTAGTTCATAATTAAGTGCTACTTGGGCCGTATGATTTGTTTGTAAATTGATTTTAGAAAAAATTACCATCTGTAGCACCTCAAAAGTTTAATAGTCCATATTGCACTTCCATTGACACGAAATGGCACTCTGGCCCAAACATACTATATCTAATACCCCGAAATGTCTATTTTGTATTTTTTTTATATAGTGACAGTCTATTTTGTATATTTTTTAATAGTGAAAGTCTATTTTGTATATTTTTGTATAGTGACAGTCTATTTAGTATATATTTTGTATAGTGACAGTCTATTTTGTATAGTGACAGTCTATTTTATATATATTTTGTATAGTGACAGTTTATTTTATATATATGTTGTATAGTGACAGTCTATTATATATAAATTGTATAGTGACAGTCTATTTAATATATTTTTGTATAGTGACAAGTCTATTTTTTTTTTTATGTATAATCACACTTAAAAAATTCACTGCCACCCTTTTCGAGTGCAGGACTTGTAAGAAGCAATTTGAATCTTTCCAAACTTTGGGGAGCCATAGAGCAAGTCACAAGAAACCAAAATTCAACATAGCCGCAAATCCAATTAAACAAAACAAGAAAGAAATATGAATGCTCCTTTTGTGGAGAGGAATTCTCTCTTGGACAAGCTTTAGGTGGCCACATGAGAAAGAACCGCGATAAATTGGGTGAATTGCAGAAACATAAACAACATGATATTGAAGATAATTATGCTGGTGAAGTTGTTGAGACGACAGAGAAAGGATTTTGGGTACTGAAAGGCTTTGTTCTTGGATTTAAATTTGACACCATATGAGAATGAGTTGATGCTAGGGATTATCCCGCTTAGAGTAGTTCAACATTCTTGGTTATAACCTTTTGAATTGTTTCCGTTAACTATAGTAGTTTTGTGATTTTTTTTCCTTTAGAGTAGATAATTCTATGATTTTGATTGATTTGTGGCTAGTCTGTGTATAGAAAAATCTACAGTCTAGGTTACGGAGTAAGGGGAAGGTATGGATTAAAGTAGGTTACGGAGTTGAAAGTTTGAAATTTGAAGGGAGGAGAGTGGCAGTGGTTTTGGGCTAGCCCTTTAATTGGTTTTGGGCTGTTAATTGTATGATATATTTTGTGGCTATCTATTGTCATTAGTTTTTTCCGGATGGCTACAAATGAAGTTTGCTCTTGATTTTAGACATCATTTGTCAATAATGTTAAATGGCCCACGTTGGCAGGTGTAATTTAAGAAAGAATTTGGGCTCAAGAAAAATCTTCCAGGCCCACTTTAGTGATAATAAGTTGTTGGCCTACTAGTAACAATAAAAGGTTGGTTTACTAGTTAATCCAAATTTACCACAAGCTAAGGCCTAACTTTCATGTACATAGTTCTTTTGCCAAATAAATGTCACAAACAATCAGATTTTTTCTTTTATGATTAAATACTTTATAACTTAGCCTCTTTAATAATTAATTTAAATGCTAGGCAACTAGTTGGCGCACTTTAACTTTTTTATTCATGGACTCGCTTGCGTAGCGTGATGTTTAACCTTCAATAAATTAATTCAATAATCTCATACCATATCCAATAGCTTTAATTGATTCTTAATATTAGTTAATCTTTTTGCCATAATCGCGGATTCGCTTGCGTAGCTCGGTAGTGACATTTAATAATTTTCTAAATTAATTTTCTCAAATGCATTATTTTTTCCCAAAAGTAATAACTTACTAATAGTCCTTTGTCATGACTGCGGATTCGCTTGTGTAGCGCTGTTATGACTAAATTAATAAATTTTGTCTTGATCACGCATTCGCTTGCGTAGTGTAGTTATGACATCTTATCATCCAAATCATTCTTTAATAATTCTAATAATCAAGCAATAAAAACAGACATAGAAAAAAATATAAAAATCATATAAATTACAGTTTGTCCCAAATTAATTCAAGTCAATAAAGCGATCGTGCTAGAACCATGGGATTTGGGGAATGCCTTACACCTTCTCCTTGGTTAACAGAATTCCTTACCCGAACTTTATTTTTGCGGACCGATAAAAATAGAGTCAAACCTTCCTTTGACTACGAATTTAAATAATAGGTGACTTGGAACAACGAAAAATCAAATTCAAGTGAGGACTTTGTAAATAAAATAAGGCCAAATACATATACATACCCTTAAAGTTGCCAGAAAATCTCATTTAGACACTTGAACTTAGCTTTGTTTCAATTGAACACAATACTATGTTCATAACCATACCTATTAGGCACAACTAGCTGACTACTCGGCCAGGTGTTATATTAAGTGAAGCGCGTGTTTTTACGCACAACTGACATGGAAAGCTAACCAATTAAAAGACGCCAACTATTTTAATACGCCACATCATATTTTAAATCAGTCTCCCATTTAAATTAAAATACCCGTTCATTATTTCAGTCATTCTCTCTCCCTGTTAACCCCAATTCAAGAATGGCGATTAGAGGTCCGAAAAATCCCTACAAAAATTCCATCAATTATCTTCGATTCTTACTGTATTTCAAGTTTATTCTCTTTGATTTATCACTGAAATGATCTCTTGTTTCGTATGTTGTGGGTTGTATGGTTATTTACGGTTGATTTGCGGAAGTTATCAATTACGATTTGAAGAGTCGAGTTGTTTTTTTGGAAAAACTGTCAACGACTAATGTTATTGGACTGTCTATGACTCAAGAGGTATTGTTTTGCCCTTTATGTACATGCATTGATCAATTTTAGGGTTTTCGAAATTCTCTGTAAAGTTAAGGTTTTTTGGGGGGTTTCATTCGAAATATTCTGTCAGCTTTTGGTGATATATTTTTGGGGTTTTCTTTGAGGGAATCTTATGGATGATTATATTATAACACGCTTTCACTATGGGGGTGCATTTATCAATGATGGGGGCCTAGAATATGCCGGGGAAAAGGAACCCGAAGCAGATTTTCCTATTAATAAAGACCATTTTTCGATGATGAAACTGCTATATTATACTAAAAAGTTAGGGTACCCCACTATTGAAGGACTTTACTATAGAACCTCAAAAAGTGATGACTTTTTCAAGGTTGAATCTGATTCTCATATGTTAGACATTGTAAAAAACCTAGTACATTGTGATTTTTTGGATTTGTATGTACTGCATGTGGTTAATGAGCCAGAGGTGGTTGAAACTGTGGGCCAGGGAGATTTACTAACTGGGCCAGAAGTAGGTAAGACAGATAATATTTCTGGTGGTGCTAGGGCAACAAATGATGGTGATATTAATACTCAAACTACTGCTAAGAAAGACCTAAGTGGTGCGAATGAAAGAAAATATTAATATAGAGGTGGATGAAGGATTAACTGAAGAAAATGAAAGGGTTGATGTTGATAGTAATCAACCTGTTGAGGAAAATGTGGATGGGGCTGAAACAGATCTGGAAAGTAGATGTGACTCGCAAGAAGATGGTATTCCTGAAGAAGATGACTCAGAGGTTGATAAAGAGTTGAGATCTATTAGGGAAGAAAGAAGGAGTAAACAAAACCGTCTGTGTGTGACAATGTAATTCGCAGCAGCAAACATATGTTATTGACTGCTTCTAATGTATTTTGATGCGTTTTAAGTACATTAATATGGTTGTGTTATGAGGATGATTAACATCATTTTGATGCTCAATTTAGAGCTACTATAATCTAGTTTGAATTTGCACCAAATTGTGATCAACTTCTTTTAAATGTTGCATTTCTTTATAGACTGAAATCACACGACAGCTATAAAAAACAAGGTGGCAGTTGAACTAACAAGGCAACAAATTTCTTACATACAAATTTGAACTCAGCCCTTGAGCTAATTCAAACAAAATTACAAAACCTTGTACTGGGCCAACGATTGTACTAATTGAAGCAAGTCTGCAGCTTCCTTCTAAACAAAATTACACCAGGCAATACAATTACCCCTACTTATAGAAACCAGCAAAATGAACAACCGACTATTGCCACTAATTTGAACAAACACAACAAGCATCGCGCCATAGCCATATTCATAAAATCAGCTCCAACAAAGCTGTAAGAAGTATGATGGCCCATTATTTTCTTGCCCGATCCCTCTTCAAAATCTTGACTTTTTTCAACAAACCACAAATCACCCCATTTTCTTGAGAAGAGAAGTCTTCATCATACCATCTAAAGTAATTGCATCCACCCCTTTTCTACAAATACAACCAAGGAACGGAAGATGAGAATTTAAGAAGAATCACCAAAATGTAGATTAGAACGAAATTACTATGAATTAAGCTTACCTTTCCAATTTTGCAACTGTAAAACCTTCGTCCTGGGTTACGATCTGTCAATGATATCTTGAAATTTGCTAATTGACCGCAATTACAGTACACAATATCAGTGGGAGGTGCCTTCGATGAACTCGACGAGTTCGACTTTAAAACTGCTTTGACGAAGAAAAGAGGCAAGAAATAGAAAGAAATTCAGAAGAATTACAAAGAAACGAAGAAGAATTGGAAAGAAACGAAGAAGTCTCTCGACCTAATTTGGAAGCAATTGGGGTAGAACTAAACGAAAGGGCATGAAATTAGGGTTTATATAAATTTGGGTGGGTCTAAAAAGGTATATATTTAATTTATTTTTTAAAATATTACCATTGGATTCCACGTGTAATAACATCCATGCGCTCAAATCCTGTGCGCCCCACGTTATGTACCAAGTCAGCTAGTTGTGCCTAATAGATATGGTTATGAACATAATATTGTGTTCAATTGGAACAAAGCTAAGTTCAAGTGTCTAAATGAGATTTTCTGGCAACTTGAAGGGTCTCTATATGTATTTGGCCATAAAATAATCCATACTCAAATTTGTCACTTCAAATGAAAAAACTCTTTTTACCCCACAACACAACATAATATATCTTTGCGTGGGTAGAAAAGGAGCGTGACAAAACCGATGTAATTTTCTAATAGCTAAATATTAAGAATAACCCAAAAAAAAAAAAAAAAAAAAAAAAAAGATGTTGGCATATATTAAAAGTGCTGAGTTGTAATGTTTGACCAATATTTATCTCTATATTTTTAACACAATCAATTGTTCATTGATATAGTTGTCTCTCATGTTGATACCTTACCGATCCACCGGCCTAAATTGGATGATATCCTGTATCATACCAACAAAATGATATTAGCACGATTTAACAATTTTTAATCTACAAAATAATTTTCAATGAGCATACTATGAGCTGTAAAAGCCATTATAGTTTCTTTGTTTAACCATTCTCCAATGTTGATTTCTCTATTTTTTTTTTCCAAGTATGAATCTCAATTTATTGTTAAGTAGTATATGTGACCAATAAGGCCCTTATAGTTTCTCTTGCAGTAATTAATTTTTGTTGGATAATAATGTTCCTTGCTTTAACACGGCTTCAAAAAGGTGTCATATATTCAGTTATTTAGTCTTTGTTTTTGGGTACCATAAGTAGATGAAAAGTATGAAAAGAGTGAGTTGTTCTAGTGGTGAGCACCCTCCATTTCCAACCAAGAAGTTGTGAGTTCGAGTCACCCCAGGAGTAAGGTGGGGAGTTCTTAGAGGGAGGGAGCCGAGTTTCTATTGAAAACAGCATCTCTATCCCAGGATAAGTGTAAGGTCTGCGTACACACTAAATTCCGAGAGCCGAGAGGTACCACACCAACTTTTACATTCCCTATTCTCTCTCTTTCTGTTACAGGTACACACATACCGAAGCAAAGTAAGAATTGCAAGCAAAATAGTAAGGTATTTTGTAAAGCAAATCCTGTAAAATTCTTGAGTACCATTTTGAATCTACACGAACCAAATTGAAGAACTAGTTTCGTAAAAGAGTTTTTATCTGTCTTTACCTCTAGTTCAAACTGCTGCACTCATACCCCCAAAAACTACTCTTAAAGAGAATGAAACTATTTCTCAAACTTTTGTGAGGGCAAGAACAAGTACCACCGGAGCTCATGGAGCAAAATGTGTTCTCCTAAAGAGGAAGGGGGTTTGGGATTCAAAAGGTTACAAGAAATCTGCCACTCTTTCAATGCTAAAAGACGGTGGAGGTTCAGAAACGAATACTCTTATGGGCTGAATTCCGAGAAGCTAAATATTGCCCCAGAAGCAACCCAATCTCCAAAGTTATTAATTCCAAAGACTCCAGCTCTTGGAAAACACTC